ACAATATTCACTTTAAAAATAATCTGAAAGTTTACAAAATGTAATTTCAGGTTTGATGTCAGTTTATTACATGGAGATCACAATATTAAAATACCAATGCCCTGTGGGGGAAGAAGTTGGGTGATCTGATATATCACAGTCTTTACACAATGGACTTGCAAGTTAGCTCAGCTTATTCTTGCAAATTAGGCAGGTCACTACAACTGATCACTTTAAAAATAATCTGAAAGTTTACAAAATGTAATTTCAGGTTTGATGTCAGTTTATTACATGGAGATCACAATATTAAAATACCAATGCCCTGTGGGGGAAGAAGTTGGGTGATCTGATATATCACAGTCTTTACACAATGGACTTGCAAGTTAGCTCAGCTTATTCTTGCAAATTAGGCAGGTCACTACAACTGATTCGTAACAATACTTCCAGAAAGAAAAAAATTCATAACTCTGTCTTAACTTTCCTGGTCTAATTTTACCTCATCATGTGAATTCTTGCAGTGTGGCAAATGAACATTATCCCCTCTCTCTTTGTGTAATGAAAGCTTTCAAGAGACCACGTAGGACCCTACTGCCATTTCATTTGCTATGAGAGATTCATAGCTACCTAGAAGATAATAATCTGTGAAACCTTACACACACATCTTCCCTATTTAACAGTTATCTGATCAGTCACTGAATACAAGAGTAAAATTAACCATTAGATTTTGCTCATAAAGAAATGAAGCATTACTAGAAACATTTGAAAAACTGTAACAGACAAAAAACCCAACCGGATGGGGGGCAGGAAGGGGAGAGAGAAATTTCAGCTCATTTATTCTAGTTCTGGTGAGATAAAGACACCCCAAAATTAGGAATACCTTAAACTGTAAAAGACTGACAAGGGTGATGTAATGTGATGCCTCTTTGTTATCAAGCAAAACTGCATCAACAGTAATTCCAATGCCAAGACATATCTTGTTTTAAATGGTAGCACCCAAAATAACCAGTCTTAAAAGGTCATGTTTATTTAAAAATAGCTTGCTTGCATTTTACATTCATTTACTAACCTTAAAAAAATTAAATGCAAATGTATACAAATAATTTAAGCATCCTGTCGAAGTTCACACACACTGCTAGAGCAATGAAAATATTCAAGGTCATATGAAATCTTTCTTAACCATGTACCATCCAGTGGATTATTCTATTAAATATATAATGAACTAAAAAGTTTGAACCCTCTCTTTAGTAATTTCTATCTTTCTTAAAATTCCAACCTATAATTTCCTATTTATAATGTGTTTTCCAGGCCATAACAAAGAAGCATACTGTACCTCTGGTGCTGATGGCTGTGGCCGATGTGGTTGTGCTGGCTGTTAAGGCTACAGTGGTTGTGACTGTTGCAGTGGTAAGGGAGGGGATGACAGTAGTGGGAAGCAAAGTGTTGAAAACATCTGGTGAGTGGAAAAAAAATATAAAATAAAATCATATCATGCAAACAATGGAGACTCATAATAATGGTTTAATTTGTAAATACAAGCATGTTGAAAATGACTAAATTAAAACATGATTAACACAAATTATTACAGGTACAACAGAGTACCTTTAAATTCTTGACATTTATCACTCTCAAATTTTATAGCCAATCATTGAGAATACGGAATTTAAAACTCTGTTATAATGAACAAGTTTCCACAGATCTAGAGAGTGACAGTTTAAGTGACAAGAATCCATTTCTTCGCTGAGCCATTTTAAATGTCTCATATAATAGAAACCATATACGGATGAAACATGCTGTGTCAGAGTGGGAGATGAAAAAAAACAACACCATCATGCTAAAATAAACACACACATGTTAACAAGAAATGGCTGTATGTTAAAACATCCACTTTCAGACAGACTCAATGGAGGGAAAAATGGGAGAAAATGCTACTAACTATAAGAGCTGCTTTTTCCGGATTGCTTTTCTTCTTCCCACACATTTGTTTAAGACACAGTTGTCTGCTAAGATCCAGAGCAGAGTATATTTCAAAATCTTTACCCTAATTAGCAAGCACAGTCATCTTTCAATCATCCTTAACGCTTAAAATTTATTGTTAGTACACGCATCAGTATTTCTCTAAAACGGCTTTGAAGTAAATATAAGAAATGCTTATAATATTACTATTTAAAACCCTGGCATACATGTCAGAAAAAAATGCACAGTCCTGGTGACAGCAGCCTACAAAACCCTTCAGCTTTTGATCAAGTAAATGCAGGTATGCCAGGCTTAGGGGCGCCACTGTTTCACTGCAGAGGAACCAACAACGTCTGTTGCAAAATGCTCCAGTACAGAGCAGAACATAACCAGATGTAGAGATAGAAAATACTTTGATTACACTGCCAAAAGCAATAAAGACCAATAGGACTTTACTTATAAGGGGATTGCAGATTTTAAAGAACAAACAAACAAAAGCCCTCAAGAGAACTAGAGAAAAGCATTTCCATGAAGACATAAAAAACATCTGACATTTTTCAGATTATTTACACCGCAGGTTTAAAAGGAAAGGACTTGTTTTTCAGCAGTTGATGGTGAGTAACCCATTCCATACTGATTTCAGTGAAAATATTTCTGAAGGGTGCTATTCAGTGCAATAAAAGAACAAAAATCTGACCCACAATCTGTCTTCCCTTGCTGTGGAAAGAAATGCAATTGGTCTCTGAGTACCATCAATTCTGACTGGAATCAATGGAGGCTGAAGCAGCTCAGAGCTCTACAGTATTGGGCCCTACAGAACACACTTCAGACACAGGGTCCTTGAGTTCAGCATTGCATAATTACTCTCTTATGACTTCAAAGTAGCATGCTTACCTTATTTTCATACTGGATGACAGATTCTTTTGCAACTTTAAAAGTCTCCTTTTTAGTTAACATCTAGAAGTCACCTAAATTTTTTTGTATTCCTCTAGTTTTGATAAACACCAGCACTATGCTCTTTGGAATCTATACTTGTGGGATTTTTCACTTCTGACTCTATCAGAAAACAGCATAAGATCCTTCTTTCATCTGTTGTACACTGTTACATAAATCTATCTCTCAGTACAAAATATTTTCAAACAAGAAAAACTAGAACGGGCTTTTAAAAATCCCCACAGTGTAGCCACATTAATCACCAGGAAAAACAATATTACCTGGAGTGTGAGCAACACAATAATTAAACAGAACTGAGTATAACAAGCATTAGAAATAAATTAACACGTTAAAAAGATACATCACATGTACTAATCTATGCAATTTCTTCTCAGAAAGGGAAACTCCTTCCCTGATAAGTATCTGCTAAAAATGAAACCAAACAGAAAAAACCCACCTGTTTCATCTAGAGAGCAAAACCTTGTTTATTAGGAAAGCTTTACAAATCATTCTTGTACATTAAATCTAATTAGTGTAACATAAGAGTTCCATTAATTATCTTTCTTAACTATACCATTTACTTAACACCCTGCAATGACAAGTTATGGATTTATGACATTGCTATCCATTCTGCAAACACACTGTCTACCTATTTTAACGAAAAACAGCTTACATGAGTCACTGGTGAACTTAGAACTTGATTGTTTTCCGGTTTCTCTTCTGATTGCAGCATTTCCAACAAGATTTCTTATTTTAAATGAAAGACTACCAATGAAACATTCTAGTTAACAAGAATTAGGATATATCAGTGTTTTAATACAGATGTGATAAATCCATCTTTTCTCATCAGATCTAGAATAATGAAAATTTGTATGGAAATTAGTTTCCTGATTAAAGGCATACACTCTAATGCCAAACATCAAAATGGCAACTTATCAAAAGCTTCAAATTAAAATATATGTTCTCAAAAGAGATGTAAATACAAGCAATAGCATTGCTTTGTTTCTGTCCTTGCAGAGTATGGTGAAATTCACTGCGCAAGTGACTACAGTCAGCCTGCTTTTCTCACAGCATTACAAGTACTTGCTCTTAAAGACCACAGTACAAGATCGCAATGAGGAATCAGCAGCCTGAGGAACACTACATTGCCCAAGCAATGAAGTCTGAATCTGCATTGACTCTAAAAATACTGGCTTAGGTTCAAGGCTCTGCCCAATGGAATTGCTTCATTAACGACATGAGAGTCGGCAACAGGAATGTGTGAAGTAACCAAATAGGTGACAGCTCTCCAGACAACACATTTTCAAAGTTTTGGACCATATCTCACCCTTAAATCCTATTCTGCACAGCCCAAATCCAGGCAAGCATTCTGTAAAGCTCCACGGTGAAAAGCCTTATGTGTTTGTGGTCCCCCAGTCCTACTGAGTCTAACAGAAATGCTCTTTATTGGTTCTACCAACAAGATTTATGGACTCTCATGAAAACGTTACTTTTCTTTGTCTTGCAAATGCTTTTGCATAAGAGAATGCAAATATACACTTCATTAAAAACAGAAATAATGTACAGTAGTCCTCAGTCTCCCATCATGTACTGCAGGTGTAGGAGGTTAAGTGGGTTTGGAAGTTCTCAAAATCAGACAGACTGCAAGTAAAAAGTGATACTTAACAACCTAGGCTTCTGTTTAAGACATATGGATCACTGTGTTTTATAGAAGGTGTGCTGTTTCATTTTCATGCCAGAAAAGGGAATTACAATTTGACCTGTTTCTAGTCCTGCAGGACTTTCAGGCAATATTTTTTTTTAAATGCAGGGCACACCTATCTTATATCACTAGGGATGCATACGTTATGTCATCCAGAGATCCCTGCTGGCAGCTGCTCAGAAACATGCTATCAAAGGGACTACAAAGATTTGTTCTCTTGAGCTTTCTGTCAAGAAGGATCTGAACAGAATGGATTTACAAATTTCTGCCCAAGAAACCTGTGTTGGAGTGAAACTTAATTCTGTTTCCTTGTCTTGCAATTTTTGAATCTAGTTGTACACAAAGTTTAGCTGAAAACAAATTTTTGTTTATGCCACTCATGCTATTAAACACCAAGGATCATTATGACCAAGAGACCTTGCAGAATGGAACTGTTTAATTCAAGTAGCCATATCCAAATCACTGCACCAGATTGCTATTTCAATAATACTAAGGTATTAAACCTTAGCCTCCTGTGAGGCAGAAAATAGCTATTTTTTTGCAGATAGGGAACTAAAGAAGATAGAAAAGCCATGCTCAGAAATCTAGAAGTCAAGCAATGATTGTCACCACTAATTCTGAAACCTTACTTCTAAACTGGATGTTTGTTGACAGACAGATATTCAGTCAAAAATCCAATAATGTATATAAGTTGGCATTAATACAATCAATTCAGAGAGAACTAATTGTTCCCATAAAAGTCATTGGAAATAGAAAAGAAAAAGAAAAAACCTTCACACCAAGGGGCATTACTGACTCCAGTCCCAACCCTTTTTCACTTATGTTCCCACAGATTATACAGGTAAGACCTGAACTGGATTTTAGACAAAAGAGATGGGCTTCTGACCTCTCTTTATGGGCACAGGGAGGTTTGATCTCAGCCAAGAGTCCTCAGTGAGGACTTGACATTTATGTTGCAGTTCATTAGGTGCAGGGAACAGTATTGCAAAGTTTTAGAAAGGCACTCTTCATGGCCACTACTCTCTGTTAGGATGCCATCAAGCTACACTAGCACTGGCAAGGTGAAGGCAGACAGCAGGTAATTTGAAGGCTGATTCAGAGTGGACAGTGGAAAAAGGAGGAGCATGAAGTGCTTTGTTTGGTCTGGAGGGTGTTATAGTGTTATATGAGCAGCTCAAAACACTGTCATGCCCTGCCTGATAAAAATTTCCTGTTTGCCTCTCTTTCTTTCTTGAATTGATGCCATATTCTTCTTATTAAGACAGAAGACATTTATCCCTTTAAGTGCAGAGAGCCTGGACAATTTACTCTCACTGCTGATTTGGCCCTAAGCACTTTTACTCTCCATTTCCAAAGAAATGAGAAATGGTTCTGTTTGGTTTAGCAGGCTTATGTGAAAGATAGATCTGACCTATTGAAAATATTTGACTTGTTTGGTAAAAACACAACCAATATTTTGACATGACTGAGCACAAATCAGACAACAATAGCTGCAGCTGATAAAAATGTAAAGGCTTTTGTTTCAAGCTTGACAAAGGCTGACAGAAAAATTAAAGGACAGAGTGATAATGATAGATGGCCCTTGCTGTATTTTGACTGAGAATGAAAGAAATTATAAGTAGTAAACTGAACTGAGTGATGACCTACCTGAGAAACAATCTCACTACTCTGTGCAAAATTTAATCAGTCTGTGGTATGTAGGACTAAATAATTTAGCAGGATTTTAAATTCAAAGGGAGCTGCATTTACCCTTGTTCCAAGAAAACAGGATTGAACGAAAGGATCATGCAGCTTGAATATCATGTGCCAATAGCTTCCTAGCACTTAGACTGACTGATCATGAATGCTCATGGACATGAGGT